ACACCCAAACAAAGCAACAAAAATCAAAATAAATTATTTTTATTAAATAAAACCTATGGTTTGTATAGAAATTTTGTCACATTTTAGGATTAGAAAATTAACAAAAGCATTTATTTATTTAAAAACGTGTATATTTATTTAATTGTTTTTTAATGTCTAGTAAAGAAAATAAAAATTTATTTGATAAATTTTAGTAAATAATGGGGAGAAAATAATAAATTACTATAAAATTTCTATTTATTATTTTAAATATGTGACAGTTTTTCAAAATTAAAATTTAGGTGAATATCAAAAAAGCATAAGAAATGAAAGCAGAGCTGTTTCGAAATTTCAATTTCCGAAAATTATTTTGTTTCTAACAAGCTTATTTAAAGAGGACGGAACAAATTATTTAGGTAAATTATAAGGATAACTCCCACCCTCTTCTTCATAAAAATAATAAAAATTCAAAACTTAATGGGATCCCAATATATACATACTTAAAAACAATATAGAAGTACCTAAATATATTTTCCTAAAAATTCCTTTTAGACATTCCTAAAAATAATAATAATTATTATTAGATTTCTGCAAAAATTAAGAGGGTTTTATATATTGCTATTTTTATATTAAAAAATCTTAACGGGGAAACTACTCCCTCCCGTTGTGCATATGAATTATTGCGTAAAAAATGCCTTAGGGTAAAAGAAATGTGTGGCGAATAGTTGAAGTTTTTGTTTAGATTTTTACAAGTTTTTTTTTCATAAATATGTAAGAAAGGGCATAAAAATTATTATTTTAAATTTTTGAAACTTTTAAAAATTAAAAATTTATTGGAAGAAATAAAATGGGGAACGGAAATGTTACTTCGTTTTATGCCAAAAGGGGTAAAAGAAATGCCCTATTAAATGAGGATAAATGAAAATCTTTTCAATATTTTAAAACATTAATTCAATTAAAAGTTTCTAACAACTATGTATTGTTGCTTGAAAAGCAAAGAAAGCCATAAATACTTTTAGAAAGAAAAAAACATTAAATTATAATAAATCAAATCAGGTAAATTTAGAAGGAAGTAAAAAATAATTTAAGGAAATATTTGGAAGTTAAAAACAATTTTTTTACTTCCAAATTTCGGAATCATTAATTTCTTTTTAAAAAGCATTTTAAAATTATTTTATTTATTTATTACAATTTTAAATTAATATTTTTTTGATTTTTAATGCATTCCCTAAGGGTACACATTAAACTAGCTAATTTTATTGCTTTTAAAAAATATTTCCTTCGTAAAATGAGCTATGATTATTTGAAACACAAAGTGTAAGAGAGGGAAATTCTGTAAAGAGTGTGGTGGATTTTTTATGTAAACGGAAAAATAAAAAATAAATTTTAATGAGAAATTTTTGTTTAAGAAAATAAGAGAGAATAATTAAATTAAATTAAAAAATTTTTTAAATAAAATTACTGGACTAATTTGGGGTTAGAACAACGATATAAATTACTATTATTTGTCTAATAAATATTTTTTCTGAAATAATCGTCAAAATTGTGATGGAAACTCATAGATATTTTTGAAAAGAAGCAATAAATATTTGTAAAATTTTTAAAATATATGAACTTAAATTTTGATTTTTAATTTACAATTAGATTTAATGTAATTTCTAAGGAAATCCCCCTGTTGAAATCGTTACCAGCGTTCGCATATGAACAATAATACAAAAAATAATATGCATATGTTTGTGGACAGGAATTATGAAAAAATTGTAAGCAGGAGATATAAAAATCAAAGAAAGAAGGCTAAACTGCGGATCAAAACTGGTTTGTTTATAAAAATGTTTTTGTTGTTATTATAGTGCTTTGATATTAAAAAAATATTTGGTTGGGAGAGGGGAGGGGGGGGGTATTTAAATTATATAAGAGGAAGAAATATAAGAATTGTAATGAAAGAATTGGAAATTGTTTATTTAAAAAATAAATTTTGGGGAAATTCTCCAAAAAAAGATTAATATTTAGTTAAAATAATTAAAAATGAATCCCACATCATTTTTAATATTTAAATAAATTAAAAGTTGGGGGGGGGGGGGGGGGTTGTTTTGCTTCTTGCACTTTTAATAAACTTTAAAATGCCCATGTTTTTCCCTAAATATTATCGAAATCGAGACTTTTAGAGTTAAAAGTCGGGACAAGTAAAGTGATGTAAAAAAGTAACCACGTGATGTAAAAAATTTGGAAATTTAAAATTAAATAAATAAAATGATGAAAATAATTAATTTAAATAATTGGGGCACGAGGAAAATAAATTAAAAATTAATTTGAATTAGAAATATGTATAGTCTTCCAAATTAAAATGTTTCAATTTTGATGTAACTTAATAACAAATTTTTTATTAAAATTCAAATTATTGCCAGGCATTGTTAATCATTAAATATTATACCGTAAAACTTTTATTAACTACTCTGGGTAATTATTGTTTCAACAATCCGCTAGAGGGAGTAATTAATCGAGGGAGGGTAATTATACGAGGTTTGGAATTTGAACATACTTTAAGCCATTTGATGGGGGGGAGTGGGTAATATTGTTTCAATCTATCGCTGGATGGGGTAATTATTTGAGGGAGAATACATTTACATTGAATACATTTACATCAATTGGGAAAAAACCTAAGCTAATTACTTTATTTTAGAAAAGTGATGTTCGAGCCTATAGGGCAAGAACAAACAAATATATTTAAAAAAAATACTAAGATAACAAAAAATTGCAGAAACAACTGGTTTACATAGAAAGTACTTTTTTTGTAAATAATGATCGTCGCTACGCTATACTGTCAGCGCCTTTTATTTTATGGCGCGGTATTATGTGCAATTTACATTAATCAAAAAATTATTTATTTTTCTCATCTAAATATATCAACTTACACAAACAGCAAGTAACGGCCAGTATGAACAGAAAGAAATTTTTTTTATTAAAAAGCAGGTTGATAATATTAAAGAAGTGCTAGGTGTTACGGGGAAGTTTTTATGACGTTAAAGTATTCCCCAACAAAATTTGAAAAAGACAAACAAATCTCTTCAATTTTTTTAAAAAGATTTATCAAAAAATAATAAATAGACTACAAGATTAATTTAATAATTTAAATTTGTAAATTAATCAAAATTTAAAGGTCTCAACTTCAAAGGCCTCTCATTTAAAAAAATTAAATGCTTTTTATTTGCTCGTTTAAGGGTTCCCCCTTGTCTTTTTAGTGCAAAATAAAATGATTAATTGAATAAATAACCATACAACAATGGGTATAAGCATTAAAAGGGATGACGAGCGCAAATTCCAACCTTTCATTGACGCATAAGTTTTTAGCGTTGACAAAAGAATTTAAACGGGAGAGTGGAATAACGATATGTAAAATTGAAGGGAGGAAACAAATAATTTTCAGCTTTAATTAAAAAAACATTAGAGATTTCAAAGAAAAGGAACGCTTATTCCAAGCTGATATTTAGTCAAATAATTTATTTCCGAGGTTGATACCGGTATTATTTTCGAATTCTTCATGAATTATTGCCTAGTTTCACCATAACCATGGCAGAATCAAAAAATATTTGCATTATTTCTTGAAATAAACGAGGACAACCATTCCATCCTAAGATTCTTTACCATAAAAACCAAGTCACAAAAATGCCTAATTTTACTTTTTATTTTTTGAAAATTTTTCCTTAGAAATTTCCTAATAAAATTTAAAACTCGATCGATAGAAGTTTATCCATTGAAAAATATGTTAACACGGAGAGGTTGCGAGGTGTCCGAGCTAAAAACGGTCGAGACCGGGCTCATTCGATAGAGAATATGCCCTTTCTAGCAAGGATTTTTTGCCGTTTTTGCCCTTTTTTGATCTGGCCAAGATATGGCCCTCCAAAGTCCCAAAATTTGCCATAATTTTCCCCCCTTAAATATAAACATTAAATAATGGTTTAATTTTGTTGGCGTTGTGGTGTAGTGGTGAGTGTGCTTGACCTACCCTTTTTCTCTAAAAAGTTCGATTCTTTTTTGGGTTTTATTATTTTATCTAACTGTTTTAAACTTTATTTATTTATTTTCCAACAAAAAAATTTTTTTTGTTTGAAAAAATTTTTTTAATTTTTTTAAATTTCTAAAAATTCAAAAAAAATTTTTTCAAAAACTTTATTCTGACGAGTTATTGGGTGGAGAGGAAAAGATTCCCCGGGAGAATTCGATCATCCGATCCTTTATTTTCCATTATCGTCCCCTTTTGGATGTAATACACCTAATTGTTTGGAATCTAGTTTTATTCGATGTGCCAGCTGTAGCAAATTCTAGTTTTATGTATAGCAGATCTAGTTTAAAAAATTTTTTTTTTAATTTTTAAAAATTTAAAAAAAATTCAAAAAAAATTTTTTCAAACAAAAAAATTTTTTTGTTGAAAAATGAATAAATAAAGTTTAAAACAGTTAGATAAAATAATACAACCCAAAAAAGAATCGAACTTTTTAAAGAAAAAGGGTATGTCAAGCACACTCACCACTACACCACAACGCCAACAAAATTAAACCATTATTTAATGTTTATATTTAAGGGGGGAAAATGATGGCAAATTTTGGGACTTTAAAGGGCCATATCTTGGCCAGATCAAAAAACGGGCAAAAACGGCAAAAAATCCTTGCTAGAAAGGGCATATTCTCTATCGAATGAGCCCAGTCTCGACCGTTTTTAGCTCGGACACCTCGCAACCTCTCCGTGTAAGATTGTTTTCTTAGTTTAAAAAATAAAAATACAATGCGTTTCATTTACTAATGAAAAAATATTTTTTATATGTAAAGAAAGTTGGATTTGAAATAAAATGTTAAATCCGTAGTGACAAAAATTAAGAAAAAAAATTTTTTGCGAAAATGTCTCCAAAAATAAATTAAAATAATTCAAATCCAACTTTTACTTTAAACATTACAAGTCAAACTGACCCACAAAAAAATAAAATAAACTTCTCTTATCTCATTCCAAATTTTTAGTTCTTTTTCAGTCACGACGGCGCTTATCCTTTTCGCTTTTGTCCTTCAATAAGATCATAACATAACGGAAGATATTGACAAAATCGACAAAGAGCATTACCTAAATGAAATTTGGTTGTCATGGAAATATTAAATTAAAAGTATGTCTAAAAACTAAAGGCGAAAATTAACCAAAGAACAAAAAATTCGAAAGCAATATAGAAGTGAAAAACTTGTTTAGTGTTATGAAAGGTGTGATAGCCTAGCCTTCTTTAACACAAAAAGAGTGATTTATACTATTTGCTATAATTAACCCGTCATTCAATAAAAATAAAAACCGTGTGCCAAATATAGTCCTTATCACCGCGACGGCATTTCTCAGCAATCAATTGGGTGTCATACACAACAAATCCACAATTGATGGCAAGTCCAGCCCAGATGACAGCCGAGCGGACATATGGAGAATATGGCGCAATCAAGGATGTAATCAACAAACAGAGAAGTGCCGATGAAAGCATTCCTGGGAAATATTAAATTTTGAAAAGAAAAAAACCAAACCTCCCAAATAAAGATATTTGGTCGAATCCGCGTGAAGAGCCATCATTGTAAAGCATCCAAACACAATCTAAAAACATGAAATTAGGAATGAATAAGGCAGATAATGAAACCATTGTGATCAGATAAGCATTAAAAACAATTGACGGATCATCAGCGCCAACATATTCGATAAGAGGTCCAGTCTGGATACCAACAAGGAAGCTTAATCCAAACATATAAGCAAGACGCTTATTCTCGTTAAAGGAATTAGCCTCAGTCGACACGATTGCTAAAAATAAATCGTCAGAAAAGAAAAAATAAAAAAATACAAACCAATCATCAACCCAAAAATTCCCAATGTGAATACAAATTGCATTGCTTCAAATTGCATTACATTGTTGAAAAGAACTCCTAAAACGGCACATCCCAAGGCAAGAGCAAGAGTCCCATAAACATTTTTGAGGTGATCACGGACGTCTTTCTCACTAAAAATTAAAATAAAAATTTAATTAAAAATTAACAAACAGTTTATTGGGAAGTGATGTAAAGATACGATGAATATTCCCAAAAACGTCGCCGGTCGAATCTTGATAAGTAGTTGTCATTGTTTTGTTTTCAGTAAAGAGTTTTGATTTTATCTTAAAAATACTAATGAAAATTTCAAATATTTATGTAAAAAAGATAAATTTGAAATAGAGTCCAACCGGAGTAGTGGGAGATATTTTTTCGACTAATATCGAGAAAAAATCGTATCGATCAGACCTTAAAGTACTAACTGAAGTAAATAAATATTTAGGTAAAAAAATAAAAAAAACATTCGAATGATCTCATATTTTTACGTTTAGTAAACGTAGCGTTAAATATTCTTTGCTTCTTTCATTTCCAGATTTCCTCTATTTTCCATGGCAACAATCGATTTAAAATCAATTTTTAAAGAATTCGTTTTAGAAAATATTTTTTCTTTAATTTTTTGAAACAAGACAATTGAGTACAGCTATTTGAGTCCAAAAGACAGATTTCGAACTTTTGTTCTACAGGGTGCGGCAAAAGTTCCCGTACTTTTATTAAACGTAAAATTTATTTCAAATATTTTCTTAGATTTTATAAAATCTATAAAAAAGTCTTTATTAATATCTAATGAAAAGAAAAATTATAACAAATGTCCAAAATATCCTCCCTCCGCCAAGATATACGCGTCCAAACGCTTAATAAATTTGCCCACTATGGTCGCGCACTTATCCACATTAATTGAATCCCAGTCAAGTTGCAACCCGGCCTTTCACAACAGACAAAATCATAGGTAAATGCTTCCAGGGAAAGGCCTTGCTTCCAAAATTGCTAAAAAAGGCTTCTCTCGACAATCTGTAACGGTGTGGGCCGGGATTTATGCCACTGGATCACTGGTCACAAAAACAATGGATCCCTGGGCACAGCAACAATGGTTTTGGCCGGGATGTGTTCCATTGCATTCCTGGGCACAGCAACACTTAGATAAAACCAATTTTATGCCGCAGCAGTATTGAGCCCCTTCACATTGAGCAAAAACAATGATTAACCTCTGCGAAGAGTTGTTTCCAAGATTTTGGGGCAAAGCCATTTAGCCAAGTAACTCCCCAGATCTGAATGCTATGGACACGTAGTTTGGTAATTATTGGAGCAGAGACTTCCATGGATACGATTTATATCAAAGGATGTAAATAAGAGGGATTGCAACTGGTCTGGGTCTCAATTACTGTGGTTGGTTGCGCGACCATATTGGGCAACTTCAGTAAGCGTTTAGACGCGTATATCTTGGCGGAGGGAAGACATCTTGGAAATTTGCTATAATCTTTCTTTTCCCTATATATTAATGAACACTTTTTCATAGATTTTATAAAATTTAAGAAAATATTTGAAATAAATTTTATGCTTAACAAAAGTACGGGAACTTTTGCCGCACCCTGTAGAATAATACATATCATTAAAAAAACTTTGATTTACTAAACTCAATTTTAATTTAAAAAATTTAGAACTAAAAACAGTCATGAATAATGAATTTGATGAGTCTGTTCAATTGGAAATTGAGTCAATTCTCGCAATTTTTCCAAAAGAAGTTTTTATTGAATCAAATTCTCGAATTATTGTAGAATATGAAAACAACGCTCATTTGCACATTCGTTTGCCTTTAGATTATCCAAAGTATGTTTAAATTTTATTTAATTTATTTAATGATTCGCCGTATATTTTTTTAAATTTTACTTGAAATTCTTTAGTTTCTTAATTTTCGGTTATTTAAGTTTTTAAAAAAGATACCTAAACTACTTTAAAAATTTTGGGGCAAAGGCGCAGCCACGGGGTCTTCTGGGGCTAACAATAAGCCCCCCCCCCTCGAAATGGAGAAAAGGTTTTGGCGCAACCCCATATTAGCCCCCTGAAATCGACCCCATTGCTACGCTCTTGCTAAAAATAAAAAAATGAATAATTAATTAATTTATTTAAAAACCAGAAATCCTCCTTTATTCGAACTTTCATCTCCAGCCTTAAGCAGCGAAAATAGAAAAGAATTGCTAACAATTTTGAATAAATTCTGTTCAGAAAATAATGGGGAACAAATACTTTATTTTTTAATTCAATGTTTTATGGAATATTTTTGTGATCTTGGAGAAAAAGAAAAGGAAAAACAAAAAATAATTGAAAAAGAGGAGGGGAATGATTTAACAATAAATATCCCTTTACCTTCTAATTTTTATTCTGGCAAAGCAATAGAAGATAGAAAAAGTGTTTTTCAAGGACACGTAACTAAATTGGATTCAAAAGACAAGGTTTTTTAAAATTAAAAATTAATTTTATTTTAATTTTTTAAGGTCCCAAAATTACTTGAATCATTAAAAACTGTTGGAAAAATTGCTCGTGCTAGACACAATCCATATGCTTGGCGTATTGTTAATGATGCTAAACGAGCTATTGAACAGCACGATTGTGGTAATTTATTTATGTTTATTTTAATATTTTATGAATTGGGAATTTTTTGGTTTTAAGGGCCGTTTTAGATAGCCGATAATTTTTTGAGTTACTTTTCTGGATATCGTACTTGCGGCCTTTTTGGATTTAAATGGTCATACTCTTGTCCAAAACAGTGTGACTACACTGATTTTGATGTTATTTATTTAAACTTAAAGAATTGAATTGAATGACCTATCTTTTTCAATTCTTTTAACTAAAGATTGTTTTTGCTCTCCCTCGGCTTTTTATTTTTCAGGAGGCAATTAAAACCCTTAATTAACTTTTTATATATTTTCTAATTTTTAATTAAATCATTTTTAGGTAATAGTTAAGGTTGTGTTACCCCTTTTTTCTTTCCTAATAATGTACATAATGGTCAGACTTTCTTTCTTGATGTTTTCCTTTTTTCCTAAAATTTTCTCTTTTGCCGTTGACATCAGGCCCGTAGCCAGGGGGGGGTGAGGGGGGGGAATTCCCCCCCCCCCCCCCCCCCCCCGAAATGGGAAAAAGGAAAAAATTTGGGGAAGGGCTGGGGCAAAAAAGTGAATTTTTTTGGCCTACGGCCTCTGAAATTTAAAAAATTTTCGCCTGCGGCGCTAAAAAAGGAAGAAATCTGGCTTTTTAAGGTCCAAAATCCAAAAAATTTTCGCCTGCGGCGCTGAAAATCAAAATTTTGGCGCCTGCGGCGCCGAAAGAGTGAATTTTTTTGGCCTACGACCTTCTAAAATTCAAAAAATTTTCGCCTGCGGCGCTGAAAATAAAAATTTTTGGCGCCTTCGGCGCCAAAAATTTGGCGCAAAAAAATTCCCCCCCCCCCCCCCCCCCCGAAAAAAAATCCTGGCTACGGGCCTGGTTGACATCAATCAAACAGGGTTAAATTTTATTCAATTTTTTACCAGAAATAAGAAAAAATGGGTAACACAAACTTAACTATTACCTATTTTTATCTTAAAACCTTTTAATTTAAATATCTTTTTTTAGATGATGATGGAGAGACTGGCTCAGCTTCCAAATTACTTCGACTTCTTATGCAAATGGACGCTAAAGACGTTCTTTTGGTTGTTAGGTAAAAATATTTTTTTTCAAAATTTTTATTTAATTTAAATTTCCAAGTCGTTGGAAAGGCGGCAATAAAATTGGACCAGATCGTTTTAGGCATATTTGTAATGCTGGACGTGATGCATTAATTTCTGGTGGTTTTGTTGTAGTAAAAGGAGAAGGCGAAAAAAATATATAGCAATTAAAATATTTTTTTGAAAAATAATTTTGGGGGATTTTTTTGGTTTAAAAAATTTCAGAGTTTAAAAGCTAAATTTTTTTCCTTTTTTGCCTTCATATCTTTGCCCTTATGTAAATGGTATATTTAATAATTGACGAGTATTGAATACTAGATTATTAACTATTTTTTAAATTAATTTTTTGTACATAATTATTTTGGTTTTTAAAGTCAATTTCGACCTATAAAAATTATATAAATTTTCTCGAATTTTATTTATTAAAACAACTTGTGTTTTTTGCACATTTATCAACATTTTAGTTGGAATATTTTGAAAATTACTGTATAGAAAAACAATTATTAATGTCTCTTCGATTAAAAATTTATTTTAAATTTTCATATTTTTTAAACCTTCCTTGAATTTTTAAATAGTATCCGTTTTATTCTCTGTATTGCTGTTTTACCCCAAGAATAAATTAACTGAAAAAATTTGAATAACTTTATGTTAGAAATTTTAAAGTTTGATAGAAATTTACCAAAGAAATTAACAAAACAGTAAAACAAATTCCGACAATAATAATAAATGGAAAGCGATATTTGATTAAATCATAGTAGCCAGGATTAGATTTGATTGTAACAGTATACCTTGAAATAAATAAAATAAAGGAGATCCTCAATACCCGTGTTCTGCGCTGTAATGGCCAAGTAAACTTTGCATACATTCAAATTTAACCATAACAACAGGAATTTGGATAAGTTCAGCAAATTTGCTACCCGACATTGGATTGGGACTTTTACCCTTAAAGTTGTATACAATCAATGCTTGATAGCCAAAAGGTTTTGCTTGTTGAACATAATAAGCCTAATTAAAAATAATTTGTTTTTAAATGAGAGAAGAATATTAAACTAAAAAATTTATAGGCTATTTTGATTCCTAAAAATATTTTGATTCCCGTCCAATCACTCCTTAACATGGAAAGGTTATTTCTAAATCTTTTCTCGAATTTTCAACAATCGAAAAAGTTTTAAGATATTAAATAACCTTTTCAGAAAAACTACAATTCCCTCGTGACACAACGGCAAAATCCACAACACACTGACTTATTGAATTCAAATGAGGCTTCTTTTAAATAAAAATATTTAAAAAAAAGTTAAAGTTATTAATTATTTAAAACTAGAATTTTTGTAATAATAAAATATTAAAAACCTCAACATCAGAACAAGCTAATGGAGGTTCTGTTGGCAAGGCACAACCAACAGAATTCATTCCAAACAAGAAAGTAGAAATGTCAGTGCCAAAATTGGCCGCAGTTGCATCACAGTGGGCAACCGCTCGATAGCCACCCAGTACCGTGTATTCCAACTTAAAAATAATTTTCACATCCATTTTTTAAAACATACAATTTCAACCATATACTGGCCAAATACACACATTCTCGAATTGTACAAGACAAGAATTAAATAGAAATATACCGATAAAATATGTCGAAGACTTTTTTCAAGGACAATAAACATTCCCGTTAGCTATGAAAAGGATCCAATTTTAGGTATTAAAAAACCCATCTACCTATCCGCCTTTGCTATATCAACCAATTATGATTCGGTTTGGTGATCAACAAAATTTGAAATTGTTTGTTTTCATAGTTAATGAAAAAAGAACAAAATAACGACATAAATTTAATATTTACTATGTCAAAATAATTTATTGACAATTTTATAATTTATTAAAGAAAATTAACCAAAGAAATTTAACAATAATTAAAGACAGACATTCTCATCAATTTTAATTACTGCCAGACAGTGTAGAACTCGTAAATATCCGCCGGAATTTTGTTTTTGCGTACTTAGAAAGTAATTACACTTTTATTATTTTAATTTAAAATTAAAAAAAAATGTTTGAAAGGTTGTCTGCCCCCTTTATTTAATTTTAATTGTTAAACTTTCCAAACAAACAAAGTTGTTTGTTTGACATTTGTTTGTATTTTCAAAAACGTCACAATTTTTGTTTTTTTTATGGCCATTATTATATTGTAAATGGACACAAACTTTATATTTAAATTTATAACGGTAGTTATCTTTTATTTGTTTATTGTTAAATATTTTATTCCCAAAAGTTTGTGAATAACTATTTAATGAATAGAAAGATCCAGCCGGCTAGCATTTAAAACGCTCACTAGGCGGGGGTTTAAGATCTAATAAAAGAAAAGAGGTCGCAGTATCGAAGCCTGCCCGGGATTAAACTTTTATTTCGTTCTTACTCTATACTTTCTGTAATTTCTTACAAATATATTAAATCTTTATCAACATTATTCACCCAACATTTTCCCCTATTTTTCGTTTTTTAAAGTTTATTAGGTAATTAGGTATTACTTCTTAATTGTTACTTTTTATTTGCTTATCTTTTATTTCCTCTTTAAAACCGGAAATAATATTTAAAACCCACAATTAAAATTGAATTCTTTAAATTCTTTATTTGTATTTATTTTTTTCTAAATTAAATTAATTTTTAATTTAAAAACAAAAAATTCACCCTTTTTTATTCTTGATCAATAAATATTTTTTTCATTTGTTTTTAAAACTTGAATAAAAATAAACTAAATTTTTTTCGAACATTTTTAATTTTTGCATTTTTTCTTCTTAATAATTTTTGAAATTTTTAATTTAAAAAATTAAATTAAGGACAATATTAAACATGTAATTAATTAATTTTGGAATTAAATTCTAGGTGGCTGTTGCTATCTCCAAACTACACAAAAAATTATCGTTAATCTGATTAGTAAATTCTGACGCACATTAGTATTTATTAGGGAAACTTTATTTATTTATTAGGTCCAAATAAGTAACTTCTAAGAAAAAAACTCTTAATATACAGGTCAAGAATTGTTATTGACTTTGAATTATATTTTAAATTAATTATAAAATTAATTTTTGTTAGAAATGACAATTGTGGAGAATTTAAACGTTGTTAATTTAAATTCTGAATTAAGTATGTCTATTTTCAAATGATGATTTTTTTGTTATATTTTATCCTTTTTGAATACTTTAAAATCATAAAAAGTTTAAGATTTACTTTGATTTAATATTTAAACATTAAATATAGATTTAAAATATTTTTTATTCAAAAATCACTTCCGCAAATCATCAATTGCAATTAATAATTTTAAGGAAATGTTAGCGACCCTAATGCAGCAACGAAAGAAAAGTATTAATATTAAAAGAGAGAAAAACACCCAATTACTAGCTATTAATAATGATAGGAAAATTTCAGCCCCAGCTGTAATATTAACAACAACAAAAAATAAAATTTCCTCCAGCAGACTAGCCGAGGTCAACTCAGCTTTCGTCGCTTTGACAGCCGCGGCTGCCACTTCAGAATCTGATATAGTAGTAGATGAGACCACAACAACAACAATGCCAGCCATTACACGAAATCGTTGTTTTAGTGACACAAAAACTGCACACGTCAAAAGAGGAAAAGGCGTTTTTCTTCACTGGCAGCAATGGAGTAAAAGACAAAATCAGCAACAGGTTAATGACCAATATCAGCAAAAACACTGTACATTGGAAGAAGAAGAAACCAATCAAATCGATGATGCTTGTGTTAACAGCAATCAGAGTAAAAATATTAAAAGAAGTACTAGCAGTTTTGCTGCTTTGCGCGAAGAAGAAAAGGATGAAAATAATGATGAAGATTTTGTTGTTAATAAAGTGAGTCATTAAATAAATAAATTTATTTTTTCTGCTAAAATAATTTACAAACAATTTCGCGAATATTTATTAATTATGACGACCTCATTTACTATTTATTGAGAATTTTCGTAGCAGGAATTTTTTAATTAAAAAATTTTTAATTATAGAGAAATGGTCTCAAATTTAGAAATATTTAATGAATTGTTATTTTTTAATCAGAATAATTAAATTAATTAATTCCTAAATTAGGAAAGCTCATAAATCTTAAATAATATTTTTAAATATTTTTAGTTGTTGCGGAAATTTTATACAAAATATTTTTAAAGTTAAAGTCCAAGGTTCTTTAACACAAATACATATAATTTAGTAATCTGTTAATGTTAATTTCGTTGAGAATTATTTAGAAAGGAAAAACAATTAAGTTAAACCTAAAATTCTTTCCACTTTAATATTAATTTGAATCAGACCTGGCTTGGATACGGATAACATCCGAATAACCGCGGATATATCCGAAACGGACGGGTATGGATAATGTTTTTTAGAAATCGGGCGGATACGGATGGATACGGATATGATGCTCTAAATCCGCGGATATATCCGGACATGGATAGCAAAATCTGTATCCATGATCAGGTCTGATTTGAATTAAATAAACTTTTTTTTAAATTTTTTTTCTTCCAAAAGTTTCATTTAATTTTTTTAATATTATTTTTAAAATAATCCGATATTAAATATCTAGAATGTAAAAAGAAGTATGAGCACTTGTACAATGATTAATAACGGAAACGGAGATATTAACTATACAGAAAGTAACCGACAAAATAATCAACAAACAAAATTAAGATTAAAAAATTTTAAAAAATTGAGAGATTTGGGACGTGGAGCTTATGGAATTTGTGGACTTTATAAGGTAAAAAGAAATAAAAAATATTTTTTAATTTAATTATTTTCTAAATACAAGGATGAGAGAAGTATTTTAAATAAACAAGTAGTAATTAAAAGGGTATCTTTGGAATGCAAAAGTGAAAATGAAAAACAAAAAATTTCATGTAAATTTTGAAAAATTATTTTCGAATAAATTAATTTTAGACGAAGCTAATCTTCTTAGAAAATTAATTCATCCAAATATTATTCGTTTACAAGATTCTTTTATTGAAACAGAGCAATTATGTATTGTTATGGAATATCTTGAAGGGGGAACTTTGGATAGGTTTTGAAAAAAATTAAAAATAAATTTAATAATTTTTTAAATTAAAGAATGTTACAGGAAAGAAAAGGAATAAAAATGGGGCAAGATTTGATACTCTACTATTTTACTCAGGTAGAGAAAATATTTTTTTGTAAAAAAATTGACGAATATTTAATAAATTATGATAAAAAATTAAATTGAAATCTTTGTTTTGATAAAAACTTTAAAAAATGAACTTATAAAAAACTAACTTATGGCCTGCCCTAATAGAGGGAATTTATTACAAGGACAACCTATTAATGAGGGGGGAAATTTTACAAGAGAATATATTTATTGAATCTTTATTGTTTTTATTTAGCTAACAATGGCCATTGACTACATTCATGCAATGAAAGTACTTCATAGGGATATAAAAACACAAAATGTAATTTTTAATTTAAAAATAAAAAAATATTCTTTAAAAAAAGATTTTTCTCAATCGAAAGATGACAATTGTTAAAGTTGGGGATTTTGGAATAAGCAAAGTGAGCGATTTAATTAGAATTATTTACTATAAATTGTATAGTATATCAGGAACTTAATTCAAAATGTCCACAAGCATCCACAGTTATTGGAACCCCAAATTATTTATCTCCAGAAATTTGCTCAGGTCCTTAAAGAAAATATATTTAAATAGATAAATATTTTTAGGACGTTCATATGATGTAAAATCAGATATTTGGTCAATGGGTTGTGTTTTGTATGAAATGGTTGAATTAAGGAAAGCTTATGAAGGGGAATCGTTATCTTCCTTGTTAATTCGAATTGCTAGGGTTTGTTTTTGTGTATTTATTTTTAAATACTAAAATTATTAATATTTTTGTTTCTGTCACATTTTTGTTTATTTTCTTTGTTTTATTTTCTCAAATTTAATTTTTTAAATTTCTTTTCAAAACAATACATATGTATAATATTTAAAAAATATGTATATCTATAAGCATGGATTATATAAAAAAAATTTTAAGGGAGAACATGGCCCTATTTCATCTACAGTCACTCAAGATATGCGAAATCTAGTTGAATCTTTACTTAATATAGATGAGAATAAAAGACCAAGTACTACAGGTAAATCATTGAAATTAAATTTTTATGTCCGGGTATTGGAATAACATTAAAAACTGTATTTGTGTCTGTATAAAATATTTTAGTTTATCTTTTATCAACCCCTCACTTATTCAAATTTTAAACCTAAAAATAAAATAATTTCTTTTAGAAATATTGTTACGACCAATGGTTCTTCGAAAATGGATGGAAATACATGAAAATTTAGGGAGGATTGAGCCAGATATTGAACTTTACACGAAAGAAACGCATTCAGAAAAAGTAAAATAATATTATTAGAATTAAAGAGAAGGGAATGTTTTTTCTGTAAATAAAAGAAATATGTTTATTGTTGTTGGTTATTTTGTTGATTTTCAACAAAAAAGTAAAAATGTAAAACTAGAAACGTCAAATAAGAACAAGTTAACATGACAGAATATCACTGAATATATGTATAAATTAGCAAACTCGATTTTGAAAATTCAAAAGAGAAATAATTTTTATTCAGAAATATTTTTAATAAAATTTAATATTCTAGTAGAATAGGAAAAAATAGTAAAATCAAAATTGGAAAAAATCATGAAGATAATAAACTAGTTAAAACTACAACAAATAAACAATTCCAGAAATATTCTACAGAATTATTCTGATAAAGATTTCTGGGGAAAAATTTTTTTAGTAGAATAGGAAAAAATAATAAAATTAAAATGTGAGTACCGAGAAAATTGAGTAAAATCGAGGAAGAAAACCATAAAAAGTATAAAAATAAATTTTTAAAAATTTGACGAATAAAAATAAATTAAATAAAAAATTAACATAGTTAAATAAGAGAAATCGTTAAATAAGAGAAATCGTCAATAAACAATTCCAAAAATATTCTACAAAATTATTTTGATAAAGATTTCTGGGGAAAATTTTTTTTAGTAGAATAGGCCCCTCACATAAGGCCTCCGCGGAAAAAGTTTTTGCCGCTGCGGAGGAAGCCGGGCATGTCGAGCGGACGACGACGCTTCAAAACGGTCGCCGCGAGCGAAGCGAGCATCCCCCTATGGTTTTTCAATTTTGGGGACCTATAACTCACAAATCAGTCCAGAATCATTTCCTAAAGTAGGGAGTGGTACCGTTTGACTTAGCAGACGAATCGAACAACATATGTATGTCACATCCCGAACTTTTACCACTGGTACACTACACTTTAACCAATTTTTTAAATTCTTTAAATTCTGAAATTTCATTCAGTTGTTGTAGGGTGTGTCGTTTTGTAGGGTGTGTCAATGAAGTGTTCGAGTGGAATACTGCTGAGATGAACACATACACATGCATATATTTATTTCAGATATACATTTAATATCACTGAAATATGTAAACACATAGCTATTCAATTTTGAAAATTCAAGAAATAATTTTTATTCAAAAATATTATTTAATATTTATTAAAATGAGGCTAGTTTTGTGGCTTAAAAATTTTGAATTTAAAAATATTTTAAATTCTCTTTTTTAACGATTTTTTAATTTAATTCCTTCATATACTTCAATGGCTGTACAAACAGCTCCAATTAAAACAGAAGCGTGACTAAAAAATAATTATAAATTAACATTTTTTAGTCAAAGATTACCTCGATAACCCAAAAAGTAATCCAATCATTGAAGATTCCAAATCAGGCGCAGTCCATTGTGTAAGTAAAGAAAATAGAAAACCACCAAAGAGAACTAAAATTAATTTAAATTTGACAATAATTTTTTAACGTTAAATAAATGGGATGAAGTAGACATGTGCAATATAGGAGCTAAATTCAGATATATAGGTCCTAAAATAATTGCAAATTTGGATAGAAAACTCAAGTTTCTATCTAAATTCGGAATTAAAAACATTTTTGTGTATATATCTTCCCCTCTTGTTTATAATTAAAAATACAACGCTTAATTTCTATTTAAAAAAATTAAAATACAAATTCCAGATGTTGCTTTAATCGCTGGCTTGTTATTTCCAAATAATGAATTAAAGTCAGAACGTCCATCTGCCTGTTTATACCAACGAAAGCCAACAATACTTTATTAATTTTTATTTAAAATATTAATTTAGAGAAATTACCCAAGTGCCCCACTGCCAAACAATAAAGGAATTAAAACAAAAATGAAGCTAACTTCTCTCCAAGAAAGATATAAAGTTAAAACCTTAAAAATATTTACTATGTCATTATTTAATATTTTAATTTGTTAAAATTAACAAAAAAATATTTTTTAAATAAATTACCGCAAAAGTCAAAGCAACTAAATGTGCTGTTCTCAATTGTTGAATAACTCGATTATACGGGTCTTGTGTAGTAAGTCTGTCTCTAACTTCTAAAAATTAATTTTTCCAAATCCAAAATTTAATTTTAAGCACCTTTCTGAACTCTATCAGAAAATTTTTCTGCTTCCTCCTTTGCTTTTTCAAAAGTTTCCATTATTTAAAGATTTATATTAGTTGTTTTATTGTTTAAAATATTATCTAAATATTTATGTAAATATTAATTTAAAAAATTTTAAAAATTCAGAAATATTTAAGATTATTAAAAGCTAAAAATCTTTTGATACAAAGTAAATAACTGCCAAATTTTTTTTAAAAATAATACATATTTTCTCTCAATTTTTTATTTACTATTTTGTTTATTTACTCATTTTTTGCGTGTAAATCAATACTTAACGGCCAGTGTTTTTTATTTTGAATGGCTCTAAAATTAAAAAAAAACAAAATGAGTCATATTCAGGATGTAGCATAAAATTTTGAATTTATGCAGAAAAAAGCCAAAAAAATTTTTACTTTTATTAATTAAAAAGGAGAGCTCGAAGAAAAAGCAGATTACAAACAAATTTACATAAATCCTCTCAAGATTTGAGGCTAGTAAGTCTCTCGGCTCATAGTTAACCTAATCCCTTTCAGTTTCTTGATTTGAAATAAAAATCAATAAAACGTTAATATTTTTTAAATAATTTTCTTAAAAATAAAAATAAATGGCCCATGAACAAACATTTTCCTTGCCTTAAAAACAAGATTCTTTCGCAATCGACAAATGAGGACACAGAGAGCCCACTATCTCCAACAGTTAAAAACTCACTCATGATCAGAAACGATTCATGTATTTCTTTGCCTAGAGAAGAAAATATATTTTTTATTTAGTTTGTGACAGCTGTTGTTGTTTTAGTATCTTTTAGTTGGGCAGGTTTTTTCAATAAATGAATGAAAAGAAATAGAAAGTATAAAAATATTTTTGAACTATTAACTAATGAATTGTTATATGAAATTAACGGTAAAAACAATAATTTAAAAAGAGGTAAAAAATATATAGAATAAGTGGCATGATAATAAAGATTTGGTAAAAATATTTTCGAGTCTTGTTCTAATCGGGCCTTATTTTTTCGAGTCATTTGTTTCGGGCCTCATATTTATCTTTTTCGGGCAAAAATTCAAGGCCCAGTTGGAGAGCCGAACCGGGCCCCAACCCTAGTACAAATGGTTGGATAAGATTAATGCATTATTTAGGAAGAAAGATGGAATAAAAAACTAATTCAAATTTAAGTACTTTCTTCAAATCTCTTTTCTTCAAGTTTACAAGGAATGAAATTTGTCTTCTTCTAAAATAAATATTCTCATAAATTTATTAAAAAATTGTACTGACTTGATGACTCCAACCGAATACAACCGCTTGTGCCAGCCATTTCCAGGCCAGACAACTTTAAAGTCATCAAATAAATAATTAAATTAACAATCTTTTAAATTCAAATAATAATATTAATTGAGAATACGAATTAAATATCCATAACATTTTAACATAATTCCACATATATAATTAATACATTTTCTTTAACAATTATATCACTCCACCTCTTCAACACGCGTGTGCATCAGCGGGAAACGGCGCCATCCCCAGTCAGCACTTTTAAAAGTAAAATTTCCCTCGTTTATAAATAAAGCTAGGCGAATATTTCTAAAATATTAAATAGGGAGCAGAAAAGTAGAGAGAAAAAAAGTAAAGAGAAAAATAAATAAATATTTTGTGAATGGGAAAATCTAAAAATAATTTCGAGGAAAATAATCAACAGACATGAAAACTTTTGGACGAAAATTTTAATTTAGATTGTTAATTAAATATCCCTGTTAGGATCAGATTAGTATCAGTTAGTCACTAAAGATTTTATAATAACTAGTCCAAAGCAGAGGTGAATCGGAAGTGACAAAGGTGCCGGAAATCAGAACTGTCGGAAATCAGAATTTCGATTCACCTCTGGTCTAAAGTATTAATTTAAATTATAAACTCAAGAAAATTTAATTTAAAATTCCAAAAATTCTTTTATTAATTTTAATGTAAAATGGCTAAGATATAGTGAAATTTATCTCGTTGCAATATTTAACCCTTGACAATATTTATTCTTTTATTTTGGATTCCAATTTCCAACAGCTTCACTGTGGGTAGCGTAACTAAAAAAATTTATTTAAAATTTGTTTTAATCCACTTTGTTAAAATTTTTTAAATAAATTCTCTCTTTAATATACCTTGGAGGTGTCTTACTGGCAGGTTGTGATTGAGAAAGGAAATTACGCCTTCGTCTAACTGGATTCCAATTACCAACATGTTCTTTATGTGAAGCATATCTAAATAATTTTTAAAATAAATAAATAATGAGGATGTTATTATTTTAAATTAATTTTATAATTAAATAAAATTTATAATTAACATTGTTGGTGTTCCCGATTGTTTTTCAGCATTGGAAATGAATTGAGCATCTAGTATTAAATTAGATAAAAATATAAATTTTTAAATAAAATTACCAATTAAAAAACTTCCAATTAGAAGAAGCAAAAATGTAAAACAAATGAAGAATTTCATTTTAAAAAATATATTTTATCCTTAATTTATTTACTGAAATCTTTAATATATTTATGGTAATAGTTATAATTCCTTTGTTTTGTTAGGTATTGTAAATAGGTATATCCTTTGAGATAGAGGTGTATCTCTGATAGTGTGATCGCTTAAGTTACTTCCCGAACCAAAAATATATTCAATAAGTTTGACTGTATATTTTATTTAGCCTAACACAAGTCCACCTACATTGGGTTCTAATTATCGTGTTTTAACTAAACGAGGCAGTCTTTGAACTCAAGACTAAATAATATATCCATAGGTAGGTTCTGGGATTACAACTAAATTTTACCTTATACATATTAAAATGAATCTAAATTGTTTTTTAAAAGAGTAATTATTATAAAAATGAATTGAAATAGGTAAAAATTAACCAATTTTTAAATATATTTATTTGCCTTTGTGTACAAAGTCTGTTGACGTTTCAGAAAATTTTTATTATTATAAATACAATTTAAATTATTAAATAAAAGATTTTAAAAAATACCGGTTTTGGCAAAAAATTATTTGCCAGAGGGTTTTATCAAAGTTTAAATATTTTTTAAATTAAATAAATTTTTCCATTTTAATTACTAATTAATCATTTTTAATAATTTAAAATATTTTATTTAATTTTCAAAAAATTCTTTTGTTTAAAACTTTTAAAATAAAGATAAATATTTATTTTAATGTTGTACTTTTTGGCCATAAAAATTAATTCTTATTTGTAATGTTAATATTTGATTTAGAAAAACTTTTTATTTAACTCAAAAGTTTAAAAAATATTTGTATTTAAAAATTAGGAAAATTATTTCTATTGTAAAAGGGAATCAGTCTGAATTTAATAATTTGGTAAAATAATCAAAAATTAGCTAAATAATATATCATGTTTTAACATTTCACTGAAGGGGTAAGAGGGCGGATCAAAACTTTCAAAAAAACAACAAAGTATTTTAACTCCAAGGATTTAGTTAATCATCTACCTCTAAATTTAAAATAAATCAACCCACATTTTTCTTAAATCATTGATTTTTTATGTGATTTTTTATTAAAATCTCCACAAGGAAAAGAGTAAAACTAACATAAAAATTTAGAAGGGTGAATAAATATTTATAAATTACATATTGAAATAAACAGTATATTGACACTTGTAAATATTTAAATTAAACCTAAAGATTTTTTACATTTAAATTTATCTACAAGTTTATCAAGTTTAATCACCGATTTCGTTTATTTTTAAAAAACCATTCGGGCGGTTCAACAAAAAATACTCCACCATCCATGGCACAATATGTTGGGCATACACCTTTGTGTCCATCATCTCCAGATTCGCCGATTGGACCGGGAGGACCTTTTAGTGGAAATTACAATTTTGATTTCTACAAAATGTTACCAGTCGTTCCAGGTGTCCCAACTCTTCCAGCTTCTCCTTGTGCGCCTTTTCTTCCTTGTGGTCCTTGTGGGCCGTCAATTCCAGGCAATCCTCTTGGACCAGACGGACCGATCATACCAACCTCGCCTGTAGGACCGGAAGGGCCAGGAATAAAAGGAGTAGGTTGTGCATCCTTGAAGACATTTATTTAGCTTAATAAATTGTAAAAAAAGAAACCTGCCCGGGATCACCGTCCTCGCCATCACTTTATAATTAGAATATAATGCAGTATTAGTATTAATACTAATATTATTTATTATTATCAGTATTCTGGTTATAGTTTTATTTTCCTTATGTTTTGAGTAGGGAACCAAGGGATTTTCGGTTTGGTTCTTCGGTTCAGAACAGGATATCAGAAAATTTTCCAATAAATGACAATGCTAGTTTTAAGTCATTCTTTTTTCTTTCACCCTTTAAGACAATTTATTTATTCTTATATTTTTATATTTCATTTTATAATAATTTTGCTTACAGTCCAGGCACTCCTGGAGGTCCATTCATTCCTCGCGCACCTTTAATTATTTACTTTTTGTGCTAATTGTCATAAAACAATTTGAATAATTATACCTGTTTTACCATCATCCCCATTCTTTCCTTGCAATCCCGGTGGTCCTTTATTTCCATTATCACCCATTGCCCCCTAAAATTTTATTTTCAAATTTACGATAAATTAAAGATAAAGCGACCATTTGCCCTGGCGGCCCTTGCAATCCTTGCGGGCATTTCTCTGGACAATATTTTTTTAGGTCCTGCAATGGTTCACAAGGTAATCTGGCAGGAATGCCTGGTGCTCCCTTTAATTTTACAAAAAATATTTTGTATTTTGATATAATTTTGTTTCACTTTTGCTCCAGGGGTGCCACGCATTCCTTTACGACCGGGCGTTCCCTGTACACCAACTTCGCCTTCTCCACATCTTAAGATAAACAATAAAGTTTAAAAATAAAAATAAACTAACCGACAAGTCCGCGATGGTTCTACCCCTTCACTTCTTAATTGACGATAATCACCCTGTGTACTAACAATATGCCTGAAGTTCCTCTAAAAAATATAAAATTAAGAAGATGATCTCACTTCTCTTCTCTAATATTTTAAATTCCTCACATTTTTTGTTCTATTCATTACAAAATCCACTGTCCTAGCCATAACAAAATGTTGTAAATTTTGATTTTTTCTAAAATTGCCACTATTGTATCGCTCAACAAAAACATCAACAAGAGCAGTTGAATCATCTGCCATTGTCTGGGCATTTTCCTCACAAAATTTCAACATTCCTTTTTAGTTTAAATTTTCTACACAAATACCCTACCATCAAATTGTGAGGTTGTAAAATTAAGGAACTGGTAAAGGACTGGACAAACAGAAAATAAACTGGCCCATGCACAAACTAAGGAAAAGATATTTCTGTTTGAACTTTACCAATAAAAATTAACCCGAAATGCACAAACAAACAATCATAACCCCTTTGAATGCATTTTCTCTCCTAATGTCTTCCTCTTCAAAAAGGTTGAAACCGGAGGAAGGTAATACTGATGAAAATATTTGTGTTTTCTCTGAAACTAATGCTGGTTGTGCCAATGTTGAATTAACATTTCCGCTGTAACAACATTGACTTGCATCTTCAATCAAAGTTGTTCCTTGATCATTAAGTTTGTTTGTTTGGTGTTGAAAATTTTGTTGATGTTGCTTTTTTCTATTTAAATTATTTTGATTTTGTTGTTGATTGATATTTCTGTTTGGTATTGTAGGTGAAAGTGAGGAAGGGACAGGTTTGTTTGTTGTTGTTATTGGGAGATTACGCCTCATTTAATTTTTTTTTTATTGACACATTCCTGTGAAATAATGATTATATCTCTAAAATTTTAAAGAAAAACAACAAAATAAGTTGATAATTTTTTAGATCATATGTATTTACATTTAATATTCTCATATTAAAAAATAAAGATGTAATTAAGGAGGATGGGCTAAAACAATAAAAATAGGTGCTATCAATTTTTATCGCCAGAAGGTCCGAAAATTAGAGTCAAGGACTTGTGCGCTGACGGCGCAGAAAAATATAAAGTGACTTAAAATGCTTTAAAAAAGGATGAGAATAGAAAGGAATGATTGGAGAAGAATTAGGTCGTTGATTTTTCGCAAAATTAAATTATGTAATTGGAAGAAAGATAAAATGTTTTTTGGAGGAATTTAATTAAAAAAAAAATTTGAAATCATTTGATGGAAATGTCTGAAATTTGGAATAAAATTTAAAGAAAAAGGGCCTGGATTTATATTTAAAAAAATTACTGAGGATATTGAAAATATATGAAAGTATTAAAAATTGGAAATGTAAGACAGAATCGAATCCCGAAGGTAATACTGAGCAAATAATATATTTTATATCCAGGTTCAATGTCCAATATTATTTTCAATATTTCTATGTGACAAGCAATTTTATACCTCCCACTTTACAACTAATTAATTCCTTTGTTTTCACTTGAAAGGTGTTTTTTTATGTTAGCTTTCCCTTTGATTCTATTATTATGCTTTAGCTAACTTACATATATATTATTGTTTGTATTTTCCTAGTTTGTAAATAAAGCGTTTCATTACTTCGGTGTGTTTCGGTGTTTGGAAGAACCAAAGGACTTAAACCCCGAGATTGATCAAGATCAAGTTGATCAATATCCCTTAATATCTGGGTATGGTTCAGCCGCTTCGGCGCAGAGTATGAGTAATTGGAGATATAGAATAGAGCCGGAACACCTCACTAAGGATCCCACTTTACTGCAATAATTTATGGAAAAATTTAATTATTTGCTGAACATCAGAGAAAAATATTATTCTTACTAAATTATTTAAAATAAATTAAAATTAAATTACTAAACAATGACTAATACATAATTGTTTTTAATGTACTTGTTGAACCTGAATGTATAAATTAATTAATTATAAAAATAGAGAAAGAGTTGATTATATCAACTTTTATTTAAAATAAATCAAGAGTTAATTCATTATTTTATTTAACTATTTGGCCAATTTCTATTTATTGAATTTCCTTATTTTATTTCTCAATCAAATTATTTACTCAACATTTTATATTAAAATACTCTTTATTTTTTGAAAATACCTAAATATTTGATAATAAAAAAGTTGGAAATGGCATCGAAAATAAGAAAAATAGTAATTATATGTTCCTGTATTTTCACTGTTCTTGGCATGTTCCATTCCATCCTTGCATTAATATGGCCGTCTTGGCAGGTATTTTTTTAAAAAAATATTTTGGTTAAACAATAAAAGACTGATTTTAATTTTTATAAGAAAATATTAGATACCCAAAATTAAATTTTAAATTAATATACTAGATAGTCAACTTGGAAGAGAATAATACTACTCATTATCATGGACTTTTTGAGGACTGTATAGATGGAGTTAGCAATGAGTTTATTGATAAATTAAATGATTCCAACAAAGATATAACTTCAATTGTAAAATTTTGATAAATAAAATATTTTAGAATTTTTAACCAAAAATAAAAAAATAAAGAAATAATTTATCCTTTAAAAAAATAATTATTTATTTTTTTAATTTCCAGGATAACCAATATTATTGTATCTTAAAATCTTACTATTCAAAGTATATAAACTTTATAAATTTTTAATTAAATTAATATTTTAAAGAAATAATGATACATATTATCGAGATGAGAATGATTTTTTTGATGAATATAAAAAACACAAATATTATGGATGGCATATTTTTACAATTTTAATATTGGTTGTTTTAATATTAAAATTAATTGAAATTATTTTCGTTTAGTTATTAATATTTATTACTTCTTTTATTTCACTTTGTTTTGGCGCTTATACATGCTGCTGTCCAACAATTTTATTAATTAATAAAGCCATGACACTTATAACTTGTAAATATTTAAATAAATTTATTTTGTTTTTTACCTAATTTTGAATCTTTCTCTTTTTTGCTATGATGGAAAAATGAGTTAGTGATGGGATAACACGGGAAAACTTTAATAAAGTACAAAATTCTAACTTTTGTAACATTCGATTAGGCAATTTGGCTATACGATCCACGAATTAATCTGTATATAATTTAATTATTTTAATTTGTATTTTTCAGGGTTATTGTCAATGATCATCTTAATAGTCTTTTACTACTATTCTCAACAATCTGAGAATCGTTTTATTAAGGGCAAAGTTGATACTTATGAGGTTTACTTATACTTTTACATAAATATGTTAAATTAATAATTTTCGGAGATCCTTTTCAAAATAATTATTTTAAAACAATTATTCTAAAAAATATTTTTTTTTCAGCAACATTTGGGAATTGGATATTTTCTACAGGTGGCTGCAACATTATATCATTTTATTGCCTTTGTACTTGCGCTGTTTACTACAAAAAAATTTTACTAAATTGAAATTTTAGGGAAATACAGACATCGACATAAAAATAGGGGCAAGAGTAACTAAATGAAACTCCCAAATTTTCTTAATTAAAAATTCATTTAGGAAAAATTTTCTTATTTGATTAAATACTCCATTTAATTCTCTATTTAATGAGTATAAATTTTCAATTTCCAAAATTATTTAAGAAAAAATAAAATTTAAAGTAAACTTCCCAACAGATTTTTTCCCTACAATTTTTTAATAAATTTAAAATAAAATAAAATACATATCAAAATTTAATAAAATATCTCACAAAAAATATTTTTATATGTATGTATGAACTCACAAACAAATCAAAAACATAATCGAGATTATTTTTTCTTCACTGGGTATACAAATATATTCTTTTAAATTACCTTCTCTTTTAAGTACGAATTAAATTTTAAAATAAAAACAAGTTTTTTTCTTAGTCTTTTATCAAAAAAATTTTTTGTTAAATAATTTAATTAATTCGTACTAATCTACATTTAAAAAATAATAAAGAAAAAAAAAGAAATATTTATTTTCTTTTTAAATTTTAATCTCTTTTTGACGAGGAATAGAAAAATGGAGATATTTGCATTATTCTCCCATTTGATGATGAAACACTTCCTCCATCTATAGAACTTTCTTCAGGCATAAATTGACGACTTCGGGAGAAAATAGCTCTTCTCGCGCTTAAAAAATAAATTTTTTTAAATAAATTTATTTTTTGTTTAAAAAAATACCTGGGTAAATTTTCTCCATTTCCACTTCCAATATTTACTGCATCAGAATACAAAAAAGGAGTTATTTGGATTGGACGTCGATTAGGTGATGCTAAACAATAATTATTTTTTGATGATCCAAAAATAGCCAAAATAATAATTAATGTAAAAAATAAATGTAGAAAAGATGGGGAGAATTTAAAGGAAGAAATAGAATTTATTTTAAATTTTGGTGAAGATAGCATTGATGAAAATTTATAATAAATTTGTTTTTTAATCTTAATAATAATTTAAAAATTATTTTTAAATTATAAACAAATAATTTTGATTTTTTATTAGGACCTACATAATATATACTAAAATTTTCAATAAATATTAATTATTTAAGTAATTATTTAAGTAATTAAATAATATTATTAGTTGATAATTATTTTAGAAGGTATTTTCAAACAAAACTTGAGGTAATTTCGAAGGTAAATATCAAAATGGGATAAATAAAGTATTTAGTAGAAGCTAATAGGAGATGAGCGTTTTGGTATATCCTTAGATGAGACACGTATTTTTCGAAATAAAATATAGGTAGCCTATCTAAAATTAATTCTAAGAAATAATTAATTAATCTGCATAAATATAAAATATATTAATTACTTTATTCTCCAAAAATTTTTTTTGAATATAATAAATGTAAAAAACTGGTAAAGAAAAGAATTAGAATCATTGTAAAAATGTTAATGAGGCGCTTAAAAAAGTATTAAAAAATATTCAATTAAATATTCTTTTTTAAATCTATAAATGTTAAATAATTAAATAAATAAATTTATTTAAATTAAGTGAAGGAGGATATTTAAATAAATAAAAAAAGTTTTTTAAAAAAGTAAAAATTCTAAGGATTAAAGGTTCAAAGTCGAGACTGTTAATCCTTAAAAAGGATTTCTTTTAAAAGTATCAAGAAAAAAAAGCAACAATTAAAATGACGTTTTTAAATAAAATAAAAGTTTTTTAAATAATTAATAAATAAAATATTTTTATAAATTGAAATTAAGAATTCATAGATATTTTAATGAATTTCACAAATAAGCCTTTCAGAAAAATAAGCCTTTCAGCATTCAGTTTTTCTTAATCTTATTGTTAGACAAAAAATTATGGCACGCTTCGGGATTTTTAAATGTATTTTAAATTTTTAATAAAATTCTGGAGGAGTCGTAATAAAAATTAATTTAAAAATTTAGAGGAAATTTTCTAAAAAGGTGAGGTAGTTTTCTGAGGAAATTCTTCTCCTTTGCTAAATTAATATGCAAATTTAACTGTAAAAGTTTGTCCAGGAAATATTAAAAATAAATTATTTAAATAATTTCTAGTAGAAAATAAACAATTCAAAAAATATTTTTACTATTATTATTAAAATATTTGGAAAATATTTGAAAAGGGATTTATGTTTATATTTGGAGTAATTGTTAAAATATAGTTTAAAAATTCTTTTAAAAAGGAAACCCTTTTTAAAAATAATGCAAAATAAATAAAGAATAGATTTTGGTGTTTAATGTTGAAATGAAAGAAAGAATACTGAACATGGCTTTAAATTATTTTTGCAGAAAATGTACATATAATAAATGTTTTCGAAAATAGTTAAAATATATTTATGGATATTATTTACAGATTTCTGATTTATATTTATTAAGTAATTTAAAGATTAATTAATTTAAAAATTAATTACCTTTTAATTCAATGTTTCTAAATTTAAATATTTCCCCCAAATTGTCCCCAATATTCCCACCTCCAAAATTCCCTGGCGCTACCACACTTATTATTATTTTTTTATTTTAATTACTATTTGTTTATATTTAAAAAACAATTTTCGAGAATAAAAAAACTACCTAATTATTTTTTGTATTTTAAAAAAAAATAATTATTCATTTTTTACTAAAAATAATTTTTAAATAACTTTTTTAAATATTTGTAAAAAAATAAAAATAATTTTTAGTAAACGCTTATCAATAAATTGTAGAAAATTTTGCAATAAAAAGTACTGCTTTAATATAAAAAATAATAAAAATTAACGAAAATTCCAAAATAAATTCCCAAAAATAATTCTAAAAAAGTAATAAGTGCTTATCAAGTAATTAAAAAGTGTGAATAAATGGATCATTTTAAAGAAAATAAAAAATTGTGGAGTGAGTTTTGAGTTTTGATAAAATTTGAATAGTAGATTATTTATTTATTTTAGAATTAATTTTTTGTTTTATTTTTAGATTTACCTAATTAAATACAACTACTCAAAACTAGAGTAAGTCGAGTACCGAGTAATTGGGAAACCCCGAGTTCTATAGTAATGCCGAGTACTATTAGGATCCCGAGTTCCGAGCCCAAGTAAAGACAAAGAAACCGGTCGATCGAGTCGAATAACTCGTACTGATCGAACTTGGATGTACTCTGCTCAAAAATTAATCCGTTTATCTTTTATATTTTTTCCATTTAAAAAAATAATTCTCATAATTTTATAATCTTAAAATTTTTTTAACTATACCTCTCTCTCTATTTCATTATAAAAAAGGAAAATGTTAATAAATTTATGGCAAAGCTTGTAATTATTTTCTAAAAAAATAAGAATGACAGAAAATGACTTTAGAGGATTTCCCAAGTTTGACAATAAAAAATTGGACTTGGATATGTAAATGTCATTCATCTCAATCAAAAAAATCTAAGAAAAAAAGTTTTTCCTTTAAATTAATGACGGGGTTATTCTAAATAATTTATGTATTACAAAAAAAAAAAAGTTTTTCTTTTAATTATTTGAATACAAATAATAAATAAATACATTTATTATTATTTTTTGTGGGTGGTTTTTGAAGCTATAAATATTTATTTTTAAATAAATAATTATTTTAATAATTTTGAAATTTGCTGTGAAAAGCTATTAATTTTTTATTTGATTCTTTGAGCTTTGCTATCATTTTCTGTTTAATTTCTGGAATTGGGTAGAATTTTTAAATTTAAAATTGGGAACTTTGTTTAATTTTGGATTTTTTAAATTAATAATTAAGTTTATGTACTTAGATTTCTTTAAAATCTTTCAAAAATAATTCACGGAATGAAAGATTTTCCAAATAATTTTTTGGAGAATTTTTTGAGAATCATTTACACAGGTAACCCATTAGTGAAGATTGTGAAGTCTGCTTTAATGCAGTCCCTGTTTAGTACATTGGGCAATTAGGCCCAGATTTTTGTGTACCTAAAGCAGCAAGGCAATACTTAACAACCCCCTCCATAAGTGCATAAATAAATAACCTTTATGGTTGATTTATTTCACCAAAAAATATTATTTTAAAAAACTCAAAAGAACAATTTATATATTTTCTAGAAAAGTCTACAAAAGTTTAAACAAAAAAAAATATATAAAATATTAAACAAACATCATTATTTACCCTAAAGCAAAAATAAAAAATCTCATGATTTTTTATATGAAATAATGATAATAGAGCAATTTTAAAGGTTTGTGAACTTTCTTGGCCAAAATAAAAAAAAATAAATGTGAAGAAATAAATAAAATATATTTTTTTCTTGGCATAAATAATGAATGAATGTTTTTTTGCTTTTCAACTGCATCCAGATAGAAAATTGCTCTTAGTATATTTTTTATTGAAAATATATTTTAATTGCTTGTTTTTCTTGCTATTTTTAGAATTTAAGTACAGAATTAAATATTTTTTAAAAATATATTCATGTAAATGTGTTTTGCTGGTCTTTGTTTTAAAATATTACGAAATTCTTTGGTGAAAATAAAAAATTAATAAATAGAAGGGAAATATTTTAAAAAATTATTTATGAATTAAAATAATTAAAATTGAAAAAAAGACTTGAGAAATTCACATAAACTACATATAACCTGAATATTAAAGACGTAGAACTATGAGAAATTAAAATTAGTATCTTTATTATTTAATTCATCAAGAAACAAATTTAGTTCAGTATAAAATGAGAAATGTTATAAAAATATTTATTAAAGAATTTATATTTTAATTAATTAAAGAATTTAAATATATAATCATTTGTTTCGACTAGAAGAATGTTAAAAATGATTAAAAAAACAATAAAAATAAATACAAAAATAGTAATCACTTTTTTAAAAATATTTATTATTATTTTATTACTTTAATTCAAAAGAAGAATGTCTGGGTATTTTTCTTTTATTGTTAAATACAAGAGTAGAAGAATTTCTAAAATTTATCTAAAAAAAGAAATTAATTAAAAAAAATATTTTGATAAAAAAATTTAAACAAACAATTTCTTTTTCAATAGGAACTCGAGAAAGAAAATCTAGCAATTCATTTGTATCAACATAATTTGGATTGAAGAGTTTTTTTGAAAATTTATTTATTCCTAAAAATAAAAATATTTTTTAAATTTAATTTATTTAAATTTACCCCAAATAATAATTATCAATCTTATAGGAATATAATACAATAAAATAGTTATTAGAAGAAGTGAAAATATTGCAAGAAAGGAAAGAAAGGGAACGGTAAAATTGAAAATTCTGAAAAAGAAAAAAAATCAGAATTTAAAAATTAATCAGAATTACCCTTTAATTCTGTCAATTAATCCAACCAAAAAATCCCCCTGTTGTTGAAGTAAAGTCAACGTTTCTTGTATTGCTTGGAGACGTTCACGAAGAGATTTACTAATAATAATTTGTTGTTGTTCATCTATCCCATCTTTCTTTTTAATTTCATTTTGAATCTTTTATTTAAATTAAATTATTTACTAAATCCTCCAGTAAATACCTTAATGTTATCTTCATCCAATTTTTCATTTTCTAAAGATATTTGTTTTGTTTCGAGTAACATTGAATTTAATGAATTATCAATCGAACTATAAAATTAAATTTTTTCTAAAATAAAATTAAATATTCTCTTCTTACATTTTTTGTTTATTATTTATTGTTGCTATATCAGCCCAATTTCCAATAAGTAAAGGCAAAAGTTTTCTTTTTCTTTCAAAATTTAATAATAAATTAATTAAATATTTAATTATAAAATTGTAAATCAAAATAATTAATAAAATAAAAGGAAAGTGCCAAAGTTGGATTAAACTAACAAATATTATATAAAACTAAAATAAAATATAGAGATTTTAATTAAATTAGTAAAAAATTTAAGATTTATATTTTTCGAATTTTTGAGTTTATTTTCCGAATATTTTACTAAAATAATTGTTAAAAAATACTTGAATTTTTCTAATTAAAAAATATTTTTTAAATTAGATTTTAAAAGATTAATATTTTACCATTAAAGAACAAATTGAAATTGGATAAGATTTCCAACTTAAACAATAATTAATAAATTTAGTCCAATCCAACTTTAAAAAATTATAAATTGAATAAAGTTAAAAACTATATTTACAATTAAATCGGCAATAGACCGTAGACGATTCGCATTTGATAAAAATTTTTGTCGTTTAAATCGTTCCAATGGTTGTTTTAATTTAATTTCCTTTGGTTGAAATGTTTTTAGAGCTGCTTTAAACTTAAATATTTTGTTTTAGTTTAAAAATATTTTGATATCTTAATTTCCTGATTTAAATATTTGCATGGATGTGGGATGAACAGAAAGAGGGAGTTTTAAAGGGGAGAAAATAAAAATTGAATTTTGTAAGGACTGTGAATTTTTTGTGTATTTAATTATAAACAAAAATTTCAATTTGATTAAGTCATGAAAATATTTGTAAAATTTGTATTAAAAATTCTATTTAATAAAACCAAAAAGAGTTGGCTTTATTTTTAAATATATTTTAGAAATTTATTTTTTAATTAAAAACAAACATAATTAAAATATAAAGTGCCTTCAACTAAAATTCGTCCTTTAGCAGGCCCATCCAATTTTTTATTTTTTAGCATATACCAACGCTTTTCTCCATTAAATATCTACAAAATAATATTTTTTTAAATTTTAAACTTTCCCTACATTAAGTAAAGGAATAGCAATTTTGCCAAGAAATTCAACTCTTTTATTTGGATCTTCATCATATACAGTTAATTCAATTATTTGATGGACATCTTTTATTGGACTTTTTTTAAAATAAATTTTTAAAATTAAAAATAAATATTTTCCTTTACAATTTAAAAAAACAATTCCATTTTGGACAAAGTGTTTTATATTCTGTATGTGTTTGTAAACGAAAATTACACAATTCTAAAACACAAAAAGGATCACTTTTGCCGTTAACATCTAAAGCTGCTAATCCTTCTGCTTCGAAAACTATAAATAAATTTAATTTAAATTTTAATTAATTTAAATTAATAATAACTTTTAAATATTAAAAATCCAACATCTTCAAGTGAATGAAAAGATGACCAAAAATTCTAATTAAAAAATAAATAAATTTTTTAAATTTTAAATACAAACATATTTTTTATAAAGTTGATTTTCAATATTTCCATTAAATTCTTCAATAAAAGAACAATAATTATTATTTTTAATTATATTTTCATTTTCTGATTATTTAAAAAAATTAATTAATTAATTTAAATTAACAACAAAATACTTGTTTGTTCGTCTTTCTGTATTTCTTGTTTCCCTTTACGTTCTGAAACAATTCCTCTTATTGAACGTTCAATAAACTTTAAATTGAAAATTTTTTATTTAAATTTTATATTGTCTATTTAAAAATAAATTTAAAAATTTTTTAATAAAAAAATCTTCTTACTAAACGTTTTACCAATTCCCTCTGTTCTTCATTTATTGGAGTTAAAATCATCGAAACAATTAAATACCCTAAAGGCCGAATATTTATTTCTTGCATTTTTGGATCCTCCAATTTTAATTTAAATTGTGTTTTCCTATAAAAATATTTTAAATAATTTATATTTAAATACTCAGATAATTTTAATGTATTTAATGAGACATTAGCCGTTCCCATAAAATCGTCACGCATAAAACGATCAAAATCGAAAACCTTAAAATATATGAAATTATTTATTTAAAAAATCCATTCATCTTTAATAATACCCCCTACCAAATATTAACTACCTAATTCCCCTCTCCCCAAGTCTCTCACTATTAAGTAAAACACCACTTTTATTTTTTTATTAATCCCATTAAAATAAAATTATTATTCTAGATACCTTAAAAGTAATAATTTCTGTTAGGTCTTGAATAAGAAAAGAAAATTTTTCATTCCATTTTGGATTCTATTAAAAATTAATTTTTTAATAATTTTATTAAATTTATTTCTTACCAATTCTCTAAATATTATTTCACTTTTGTAAATTGTCTTTCCTCCATATTGGCATTTAATATAAGGATCACTACTACCTTTTAAATATTTATTTATTTAATTATTAATTAAAATTAAAAACTAACCACAAGTATCATGTACTTCCAAACCTAACCCTTCATGTAAATGTATTTGAAGACAAAATGTAACAAAAACATCCTTAACAAAAATAAAAATAATTTTTATAAATTTTCTTCACATTTTTTTAGCCTCATTCTGCCTTATCTCGATCCCAAGGGAAAGTTTTAAAGGAAAGCGTAAAAAGTTTTTCAAAATAATTTTTAAAAAATTGAATAAATGGAGATAATGTGAATTGTTATTTAAAGTTTATTGACTAATTTAATTATGAGCTAAACCTTAAAATTTTAAATTTCAATAATAGATTTATTCTATAACAACAAAAAATGTGCAATCATAAATATTGCTACTCTTATAATCAAAAATGTATCTTAATTTCAGTTTTATTTTAAGTCAAAAATCTTTGGAAAAAGTTCATCTTCCATTAGACCTCTAACTTGTTTAATAAAATTTTATTCGATAAATTTTTCGAACTGATTTTATTTTGAACAAAACCAATTTAGGAGAAATTAAAGTTAAATTATTAACATTAATTTCGGCATCTTCTTTATTTTTCTCTTCATTTTTAATTATTAAATTTCCCTCTTTCTCATTTAAAATTTCTAATTCTTTATTTTTTGCAGTATTTTGATTTTTTGTAATTATTTTGTTAAAAATTAATTTTTGCTGTTTATTTTCCTTTAATTAATTATATTTTTAATTAAGCTTAAAAACCTTTTTATTTTTTCTGACAGAAAATCTGTGAATTAATGGAAGAAATGGCATTTAAATAAAAAATATTTTATAAATTTAAAAAAAAAGAAATAAATTTTAAAAATTGATTTTAAAATAAAAATATTTTTTAAATTTATCTGTTTGGGGGGGGGGGGTAGCTTTCTCATCAAAAAAACGGCAGTTTATGCATTATTCATATTTTAACTAAAAAGGCTTCTTCTCTATATTATAGTGCTTCTTCTCAATATATAAATTTTATCAAATGAAAGGGAAAGGAAAAATTTATAATAATTTTTTGCAATGGAATTTAAAATATTTTTAACAAAAAATATTTATAAAATAGTAGTAAATATTTTTTTAATATTACATAAAATTATTTAGAAATATTTTTTAATTAATTTGAAAAAATAAAAAAATGTTTTTAATTTCAAAAACAATTAGAATTATTTAAAAAAATTTTAATTAAAATTAAATTTGTTGAATAGTCCAGACTAAAAATATATTGTTTTAAAGTTAGCGGATCCTGGAAACCCCCAGATATCCTGATTTGTCAACACTAATTGTAAGGGATTTTTCGTGGATAAAGAAGAAAAATTGCTTGTGGATTTAAAATTTGTTTTATTAATTTAGAATATTTAATATAATTTATTTAAAAAATATTAACCGGATATAAATATTTTTTACGTCATTTTACCCAATTACTTTTTTTAGAAAACTCCCTTTTTTTACATTGATCTTTCTCGAATCAAATCTAAATACATTAATTTGATCTCTCCTTTTAGAAAAAAAACGGAAAACGGGGAAAACCAAAAATTAAAGGTTTGTTTTTGTCTTTTACTTTTTATATATTAATTAAGCAGACAAAAATGTGGAAAATTGAAAGGAGAAAGTAGAAATTGGAATTTTTTATAAATGGTTTTGTGGTTGTAACATTAATTAATTAATAAAAGATTTTTTGTATTTTCACCTCCAAGGTCGTCCAAAATAAATAAAAAAAGCAAATCTATCAACAATTTTTTCTTTTTATAATTATTACAAGTTTTTGGTGGATCCAATCTCTGATTAAAAAATTATTTTTTTTGTTTTTGTCCAAAATATATTGCTGACATATTACTTAATATAAAATTATATATTTAAGAATATTTTTTAGAAAAATATTTATTTTAATTTTCTCTTTAAATATTCTTTATTTTGTTGAATTTTTTCAAATTGAAAGTTTTATATACGGACTCAGTTTCTAATATAAGGACATCAATGAAGGGGTGATAAATAACTACCTAATTTATTTATTTAAAATTAATTTAGAAAAATATTTCCAGCAACTATAGATACGTAAAAATCATTTAAAATTGTCATTTTATTTCCTTGTTTATAAAATTTCAAAAATTAATTATTTTTTCCTTCAACTATTTCCATTTTTTTCAAAATACACCTACTCGCAACTTACCTAATTTAATTTAAATAATGGACAGAAAAATAATAATTATTTTTTAAATGACTAAAAACTTAATAATAAAAAATAATTGTTTTATTTTTTACTTTAAAAATGTTAAAAGAGAAAATAAAAATTTTTAAATTACCGTATTTATTCTAATAGAGTGGCCGCCACTCTATTTTTCGATACCCCCAAAAAGGGGCCATTCTATTGGAGGGGCCATTCTAATGGAGGTGGCCATTCTATTTTTCATAGGTTAGAATCTGAGATTGGATGAATCTATTGTCCAATCGAATATTTTTCGACCTCGAAATTTAATCGATTTTTTTATAGAATTCTAAATTTTCGACTTAGGTTAGTGAATTTTCTTCTCGTATCACTATAAAACATAAGAGCCTTTTGCCTGCGGGGCTAAAAAGGCAACTTTTGAATCCCCTGATATCCCTCTTAATCTCCCTGTTATGACTCCAGATTTGCTCAAAAATATTATGATTATCCTAACTAAAGAGTACTATTTAACAGGTAATAAGAAAATAAAGAAATGTATTTAGGTATATGTTTTGTAGTTAAAAGGGCCATTCTATTTGAGGGGCCATTCAAATAGAGGTGGCCACTCTATTTTTCGATATCCCCAAAAAGGGGCCATTCTATTGGAGGGGCCATTCTAATGGAGGGGCCATTCTATTAGAATAAATACGGTATATATAGAAACGTCACTTTTAATTTAAAAAGTTTTTATTTTGTCTAGCCAATATTTTAGTATAGTATTTTAAATTGAAATTTTTTCCCTTAATTTTTAAAAATATTTAAGAAAATACTTTTGTTAACTTAATTGTAGTTAACAATCCCAAGTTAAAAATTAATTGACAGCCGAGAGTTTTTGCTAAGCTTCAAGCCCTGCCAGAGTTGATATACCTATTTACTTGTAGTGTCTATGATTTATATAATTTAAATCAAAATCTTTATTATTATCCAATAATAATACTTAAATAACAAAAATAACCATATTCCTCATCAGAGGCAAATATGTATTGTAACATATGAAAAAATAAAAATCTAGTCTTGCTTGAACTCTGTGTAAGGGTTTTAAATTGTTATTCATCTGGAACTCCCAATAAATTATTCACAAAAATTCTAAATAAATATTAATTAATTATTTGATAATATCATAAATAAATAAATATTTAAATGTCATTCTTTTAATTATTTAAATTCCTTTACTGATCAAATCTTTCTTGACGCAAAAAAAAGTGAAAATAAATTTACACATTAAATTTATGGTTCCTTTTTTTAATTTTTTTTTAATTTCTTAAATATTTAAATGTTTTTTTAAATTTATTTTTTATTTTAGATTTTTATCTTTTTTTCTAAATTTAATTAAAATTTTAAATTTTAAACAAAAAAATGTTCTTAATAGTTAAAAACTTATTTATTCTTAACCCGCTCAATTTAATTCTTCGCCGAATTCTTTTATAAAACTTTCAAGGAAATTGTCACATTTTCTCAAAAATTTAATATTTTTTGACAAATTTTATATCAAAATAATTAAATAAATCTTGGCACTAATTTATTCTTAAATTATTTTTATATATATTTTTTTAATTATTTGATATGTTTTTTACTTTATTTGGATCATTTTTAGGCTGTTCTGATTATCATAAAGTAAGCTCTAAAACTTCGTATCTTTTAGAATCTGTAAAATATATTTTCATAAAATGTCTTGAATAAATAAAGTTTTTTTAAATTTATTTTAAACTTTTTTATCACACAAAAAATACAAATAGTTTTTTCTGTATTTTAATTTCAATGATGTAATAATTGTAAATTTGTTTAAAAAGAAATTTAAAATTTTTATTTTCTTTTAAACAGCAAAAATACTTAAAATGCGCAAATTTAACTTTCTTTTCTACAATTTTGTTTTAATTTACTCTTAAAAATATTTTCAATTTAATCACCAAAAATATCAGGCAAATTTAAATATTTTAATTAATCTAAGAAATAAAAAATTAAAAAAAATTTTTCTTTACTTCCCCCAAAATACACAAAACGGCCTTTCTTATACTAGGTTGCCAAAAAAAATTTTTAAATTTTATTTCCTTTAAATATTAATTGTTTTTAAAACAAGTTGAATATCCACAATTGAACAATTATATAATCTAAAAGCGTTCTTAACACGCCTCAATGCCCATTAATGTGTTTTTTGGTGAAAGGAATAAATAAACATATATTCGCGCAAAATAAATAAATAAATATTAATTTATTTATTAAAAAATATCTGTAATTGTTTTTTTAATTTTAATGAATTAATCTAATTAAAATATACAATAGTTCTCAACTCTTTTTTTGTTTTACTGACAGAAAATATTTCAATATTTTCTACTAGTCCAAATAAATTTTTTTCCTCACGTTTTTCACCCCTTTTAGAAAAGTTAAAAAATATTTTGTTAATAAAAATAAATTTTTAAATTTAAATAATTTATTTTTTTGTAAGAATTATTTTTATTTTAAAAATCAATTTGTGATCTAAATATTTATACAAATGTAATATGACATATATTTTTATTTATTTATTTATTTCTAATAATTCACTTAAAAAACACTTAAAAACAATACAAAAATACTCTTAAAGTAGTCACGCATTTTTCATTCAAATAAAAATTCAAACAACAAAAATGTCCGAAAACATTAATCAATCTTTCTGCCACACAAAACCCTCCTCTACGCAATGATTGAGTGGAAATGAACGTACTAAACGAACTTCAATGAAACGCCAACGGTTTTTTTTTGTTTTTTGCGCAGAGTTTACCTTTTACAGATTGTAAAAGGAAGGTTTCTTTCTCTATTTTCCTTCCTTTTTTGAAAAATTAAATAAAAAATATTTTTATTTATTTTTAATTTTTAAATAATAATAAAAATAAATATTTATTTTTTTATTAACTTTTTTTTTAATTTAATTATTAGGGAATTTGTTTAAAATTTCATTTACTTTTCTATGTCCCCCCCCCTCTATGTTACATTTCATCTCCAAATGTGTAATTGACTTGAGAGATGTTCGAATGTATTTACTTAAACAAGTTTTCAAAAAATTCTTATATTATATTACAAATCCCTAAAAATTATGTAATAGATTTAAGACAAATATTAAATTACCTTATAACTAGGGTTGTAGGTTCTAGACCGAACCGAATCGAAAAACCGAGGATTTTTCGGTTCGACTGTTCGGTTCGGTTCTTCGGTTCGGTTTCGGATATCCGAAGAATTTCCAGGAACCGACAACCCTACTTATAACCTCTAATTAAAACATTAATTTTAAATTAATTTAATTATTTATTTTTACCTTCCCAACCAAAAAACTCCTCTTTCTTTTTAGATTTTTATTTTGGTTTATTTTTTGTTTATTTTTGTTTTTTTGTTATTTATTTACAAAAATATTTTCATTGTTTTGTTAGCTTTTGACTGTTAAATATTCTCGCTCGTTCCACTAACCTGCGCAACTTGTCTGTTATCATTTTACTTACAAACCTGAATTTTTTAAGGAATTATTAAAAAATAAATATTAGGTAATTTAAATTGTTTGTATTTAAAATATTTCGCGTTAATCCACAAAAATTTTAGA